GCTACAGGTAATACTGCTGCCAGTATCTAAACTTGGTGGTCAAAAGCTAGCTGGGGAACATCTCAACAAGCTATACTGTCACCTGTGCAACACAGATCTGTTCCCAGATGCACCCTGACACTACTCCAAACATGCAAATCATCCATCGTGTGACTTATATTCAGAACTCATTTTTCACCCAAGTTATAATCGCTTTGATAAATTTTGCATTAAGCCAACTAAGAGAAAACTTAAGCTGTAGCCTGAATTCAGAGTCTTGCTTTCCCACACTTAAAAAGAAAAAGCAACACACAGGGCATGTCAATGTTGTTACTGTGCCCTATGTCAATGTTGTTACTGTGCCGTTTTTTAGTACTTCCTTTTGGAAGTGTTAAAGCACAGTGCAGCACCTGCCCGTACTGCACTGTATGTGCGGTGCACAGTTATTAGCTACTTCACCATAACGGCTTGTTATAATAGGAGAGCACACTGCTACAGCAAAGTAGCTGCTCGTCATGTGTAGACACCAGTGGATACTATGTCACTGTAGCGCTTTGCTACAGTCATGTAGCGTCACATGTAGACATGCCCATAGAGAAATTTTAAAATCATAAAAGTAATCTCAGACTCACCATCTATTTGAAAAAGAAACCCCTGAATTCCCCTCATTTTAAGATCACAGGAAAAAGCTACCCTAAACATCTACCAGCAACATATACATACTATTTATTTCTAACATTATACTCAGGTATCATGAATGCCCATGCAAGATTGGGAGAAAGCCCAATATAAAAAATATTGGGAGAAAGCCTTAAGTCCTGGGAGCTTTTACAAAGCACCCGAGATTGCAGCTCTGCCTAACAACCACAAACACTAATACATCTGAAAATCAGTGAGCTTACTCACTCAAGTTGACCAGGGATTTGCAAAATCCAGGCCTAAGACCCAGATTCAGCTCTGTGCACATGGCCTCTGGAACCTGTGTAAAGCTTAGTCTCTTACAGGAGCTGCCCTAGGATTCTGCTAGGTAGGGGTGCCATTCCAGTGGCTGCTTGATGCAATGTTCCCAATGCATCCCTGTTGCCTGTCTGCCAGCCAGGAGATCTCAGTGGCTGACTAGGCCATGGGATTGTGTTCTATGAGGGACTCCATGCTGCAGAACACATCAACAAATTCCTCAGAAGAGGCAGGCTACAGATCATTCCTTGCCCTTTTTAGTTTTGCTATATTTCACTTAGTCTGTTCCATATGATCTCATGCTCGTACCAGAACGGTGTATCCCGGTGTCACTAGCCTCTATGAGCTTTCTTTATAAAATGCTCATTCTTGATGCACTGGCTAAAATTATGCACCATTGTATATTTTTTTTACATATTAATTAGCCTGCAGCCATATTCTGCAGGCCAGTTGGCAGTACTGGGGGCAGGTGTAGACACTGCTCCCACCTCCTTGCTCCCATTAGCAGCAGAAGACTCATTGCTGCCAGGAAAGGGGGCGTGTCTATGTTTGCGGGTGAGTGGAGGGACTTGCAGTTCTCCCTCTGCCCCCTCTCGCTCCCCTGCCAGAAGCCCTGGCACCTGCTTTTCCAGCACACTTCATGATGTTTGGCATGCTGCAAAATGTGTGTGTGTTTGTTATATATTTTGTGCTGCCCTGCACAGTGATGACACACTGTCAGGGAAAACACAGAAGAAGAGAGACTAGCTACCAAGAAACTAGATAGCAAGCCAGAATCTTTCAGATGCTGCTGGTCCAAGAGAGAGAGAGCTTACAAAAGGCACAGATCACTTTATACACAGCATTATATGTGTCCCTCCCCCAGGGCACTGAATTGGAAAGGAACTCAGGGAAAGATCACAGTCACTGGCTAGCTGCAAATGTCAATATCAGAGCAGTCTTTCCTCCCCTCTTCCCCTCCCTCTTCTCAGTTTCTGTTTCCTGCAAGCCTGCCTTCTGAATCTCTGAATCTTTCTGAATCTTTTTTAATCAATTTTGATGCTTCCAAATCGATTCAGACCTTTTAATGTGTCTCCTGATTTGATTCGGATTTGGAGATTCAGCTGCTGAAGCTGGCTGAATCTCCTCTGAATCAAATCGGCTACTGAAGCTTCACAGAGCCCTACCCTGAGCTCTGTGATGCTACAGGTAATACTGCTGCCAGTATCTAAACTTGGTGGTCAAAAGCTAGCTGGGGAACATCTCAACAAGCTATACTGTCACCTGTGCAACACAGATCTGTTCCCAGATGCACCCTGACACTACTCCAAACATGCAAATCATCCATCGTGTGACTTATATTCAGAACTCATTTTTCACCCAAGTTATAATCGCTTTGATAAATTTTGCATTAAGCCAACTAAGAGAAAACTTAAGCTGTAGCCTGAATTCAGAGTCTTGCTTTCCCACACTTAAAAAGAAAAAGCAACACACAGGGCATGTCAATGTTGTTACTGTGCCCTATGTCAATGTTGTTACTGTGCCGTTTTTTAGTACTTCCTTTTGGAAGTGTTAAAGCACAGTGCAGCACCTGCCCGTACTGCACTGTATGTGCGGTGCACAGTTATTAGCTACTTCACCATAACGGCTTGTTATAATAGGAGAGCACACTGCTACAGCAAAGTAGCTGCTCGTCATGTGTAGACACCAGTGGATACTATGTCACTGTAGCGCTTTGCTACAGTCATGTAGCGTCACATGTAGACATGCCCATAGAGAAATTTTAAAATCATAAAAGTAATCTCAGACTCACCATCTATTTGAAAAAGAAACCCCTGAATTCCCCTCATTTTAAGATCACAGGAAAAAGCTACCCTAAACATCTACCAGCAACATATACATACTATTTATTTCTAACATTATACTCAGGTATCATGAATGCCCATGCAAGATTGGGAGAAAGCCCAATATAAAAAATATTGGGAGAAAGCCTTAAGTCCTGGGAGCTTTTACAAAGCACCCGAGATTGCAGCTCTGCCTAACAACCACAAACACTAATACATCTGAAAATCAGTGAGCTTACTCACTCAAGTTGACCAGGGATTTGCAAAATCCAGGCCTAAGACCCAGATTCAGCTCTGTGCACATGGCCTCTGGAACCTGTGTAAAGCTTAGTCTCTTACAGGAGCTGCCCTAGGATTCTGCTAGGTAGGGGTGCCATTCCAGTGGCTGCTTGATGCAATGTTCCCAATGCATCCCTGTTGCCTGTCTGCCAGCCAGGAGATCTCAGTGGCTGACTAGGCCATGGGATTGTGTTCTATGAGGGACTCCATGCTGCAGAACACATCAACAAATTCCTCAGAAGAGGCAGGCTACAGATCATTCCTTGCCCTTTTTAGTTTTGCTATATTTCACTTAGTCTGTTCCATATGATCTCATGCTCGTACCAGAACGGTGTATCCCGGTGTCACTAGCCTCTATGAGCTTTCTTTATAAAATGCTCATTCTTGATGCACTGGCTAAAATTATGCACCATTGTATATTTTTTTTACATATTAATTAGCCTGCAGCCATATTCTGCAGGCCAGTTGGCAGTACTGGGGGCAGAGCACAGATCTGCAGTTACATAATGCCCCCAAATACCCAAATCAACAGTTAAAAAGCAAAAAAACAAACAAAAAAGCCCCCAGGGTTAAATGGGACTTAGAGATTAAATGGAGCAGTCCAGTTCCCAAGCCTGAAGACAAAAGGGTTGATGCACAAAGGCCAGGAGAGAAAGTTTGACATTGTTCTTTGCAGACTTCATGTGAATGAATGCACCTTGCAACCAACAGAATCTGGTCTGATCCCACCATGGGACCCAGAAGTGAATGGAGACAGATGCAGGTTTAGGTTTAATTTTAGGAGTAGCAAAAGTATTCCCAACATACAACTATAAGCATTTGTAATACGGATGATTTGTGCATCTGTGCTTGAGAACACATTAAAGTGTACAGACCGCTCAGTGTTAGTATAAACATATCCTTAGACACAAATATTTTTCCATATGTTAGTTAAAGAAACATATGGAAAGATAATGTGCGTGAGTATATTTTTGCATCGTTTATATGTATTCCTCAGAATTTGGCCCAAACAGTGAAACTCTCCCTCAAGTCAAAGGACTTTTGAAGTATTTGGAGGATTAGTGTCATATCTGAGTAAAGGTACCTCACACGAGCAGATGGCTTCATCATTTTTTTCCTAAAAAAACCCCAAACCAAACAAATGAAAAGCGCCCACTCATTACTGGAGTCAAATATTTCCAATGGATTTCACAAGAAGGCACTGGCTTTGTGTTATTTTAACTTATATCATTCACATACTACCCAGTTGTCTCTTTTGTGCTTGGAACATAGAAAACTACATAAAAAGTAGTTGCATTAGAAAAAGAGAAATTTGAGGTAGGGCATACAGCCTGATACTGTCCCAAAGAACCGCCACTATATCTTGGAAGCTGCCTCAGGTTCCTTTTGAGCTTCAAGAATAATCCAGTCACAGTGTTCAAAACCAGTATTTTCTCTTTCCCCAGAGTCCAGTTTGTGTAGATTGATCAACTAACATGAAGGAGCTTCACTCAGATTCAAGGTTTCACAGCTCTTCTAGTTAGGCTGTGTACCTTTAGTCCTGGTCTTCCTGGACTGTAAAAAATCTCTTCTCAAATTCATTACCTCCACAGTCCTCCTTCTTAAGTCTTTCTCCTGGGCACATTAATCAACTCTGCAACCATTCTCTCAAACTTCAGCTTGAAGCCTCCTTGTAAATCAATCTCCAGGCATCTAATCATTCCCTTAATCCTTTCCAGGTGAGTTTCATAACACCGAACACCTGCATGGGTTACTTGGTCCTTCCTGATTCACATGGCTCCTGGTTCTAGGTCCTTAAAGGTTTTCCTATAATTTTTTCCTGTTGATGTCAACTGTTGCCAGGGACCATCTTCCCCTCTTCCAGTGACTGCTCTGAAGTATTTATTTTGGCCTTCACTTGCCTTCCTTGGACACATGAAATGGGTTAACTGGCTTTGCAAACTATTCTCAGGCCTTAAAAGGCCAGCACCTCAGGAGGCCCCTGGTAACAGCATACGGTCCTCACTGGGCCTGTAGTAGAACTACAAGGATGTGAGGGACTTTCTATATGCTTCTGTGAACATCAGAGTTGAAGCAACTCCTACAATGTGCATGTAAGTTAAATGGAAAATAGATGATTTTCATACCAGCTTCTTGGGCTGGAGTTCAAATGAACTCAGTTCCTTTTTAAGTATTTAAGTAAAAGTCAGATCTTCAGAGGCGTTCAGTATGTGGATTTTGGATACTGAACATTTCTCTGAACTATTTTTCATATGGTTGCATCACTCTACTGAATGATCTTAATACAACAACTCACTCTTGAAACTTTTCTCTGTATTGAACGCTCCAACATTGTATGATAAATTTATTCACAGTACTGACATTCTGGGAAAAAATTCCACTCACCTTTTGCTTTGATCAACCTGTTCCTACCCACTGAAGTCCAAAGGTCCCAAATTACATGCGACTGGTTAAATATGTCTGCTTCTAACAAGTGACAAACTCCCAGGTTTCTGCAAGTTAGAAAAACAGACATACGTAAAATCATGTCGTCAAAGATGCAGTTCAAATCACTGTTTACTTTACCAATACATCTAGGCCTTAAACGCCATCAATCAAGATTGGTACCTGCTGCTTCTTTTGGAGTTTATCTGTAGATAAGTGAGTCTCATAGAAGCTGCTATGTTTCATTGTTTCCCCAGTAATTTACACATTTCTTTCTGTTCATACAGTTTCTGGATGCAAATGGTAACTGAGGATGGCTTTTAATATGCTCAAAATCAAGGTTATCTTAGAAACTGGAAGTTGTTGTTGAACCCAAGTTAATCTAAAATGGCAAAATGGGCAAATGAACACTTTTCCCTCTTTCCACAGCCTGGTTCCATTTTTTTACATTGTATATTGTTCATGCCAGGGTTTTCTCTGTGGAAGGCAGTAAAAGTGCCTTACAGAGTGTTTCTGTTGCCAGGCAGGTATGATCCTTCTGTTACACCAATTCTCTACATATGATACTTTTATCTTCATATATTTATGGATAGTGACCATATGGCCTGAATTTATCAGGTTGGTCTCAGTTTTTCAAATGATGTCCTACTGGCCCAAGAACTTCTTTGTATCCCAATCTGTCATTTCAGTTACACTGTTTGTTGAATTGCAAAATGTCTGTCCAGGTTGTACTTAACACTCCTTCAGTGTGACATGATAAACTCATTCAGGGTACTACATTTCTGGGAAAAAAAAACACCTCATACTCAGAAATAACCCCATGGCATCAGAAGCTGGCAGCAGAAACATTAGCAGACTTTTTATTTAAAGTTCACTTGTCTTTTTATGAATATTTCACAACCCCAAAGCATGTTGCCAGAAAAGTGTCCTAGTTTTTTTATTTTGAAAATATAGTTACCCTATATTTTAGGTTACCTTTAGCCTTTTTGGTGCAGCCTGGCATAAAGGGCGAGGCTTATATGTCTCTTAAATACAATTCCACCTGGGTTGCTTTGGGCAATGAGGAAGTTGTCCCAGTCCTCGAGAAAGGCACCATGTGCTGTCTCAGCTCTCCTGCAAGATGGCCTTAAATCAAACCACAGTCTAGCTCTTAGTGATCTCCAAACTAGACACAGATTAGAGATCCTATAGCATTTAATCAATCATCAGTACTCCTTGTGGACCAGATTTACAATCAAGCTTCTTAAAATTCTCAAGAAGACTATGCAATTGCCATTTATTAACAGCTCCCTGAACCTAATAATAGGTTACCAGTAGGAAAACATATCTCTTTCTCTTTTTATTGTGCATTATGTTTAGATGAATTTATAGCTCATTGACTTGTTTTCTATAACCAGGACAATCTTTTTGGTGACATGCAGATATTTATACCACCCCTAACACTTTATATTTCTTTTTCATGTGCATATGCTGCAAGGTCTTTCTTTTGCAAAGAGATACGTGAACAAGCTTGACTGTGAACCCTTTAATCTATCTGGTGGTGAGTTCTTCTATTTGGAATTAATTCCTGTGTAATTAATGGGATAACCACAATCACAGTGAAATGAGTCTCCTTGAAAGAGCTAGGATGGCTTGTGGGAGTAAAGGGTGAATGTTCTAGCCTTCAGTAAAAGGGCCAGATTCTGATGTCCTTAATAATTTCAAGTGGCTGCTCTTTTCACAAGCAGCTGAACTGTGTGAGAGCAACAGAACCTGTTCCATTGAATAGTAACTTTACAATACAAGTTGTCTCATTGAAATCAGTGGGAAGGACTGTAGCAAAAGATCATGAGAAAGTAATGGAATAGAGCATCACCCTGCTTCCCTTGCTATGTTCAAGAAGCAAGAGTACTGAGCACAAGTACAGAGGGAGAAGGGAGATCCTTATAGCCCCGGTGTTCCTACAGAACCACCTTTTCAGCACTAGCAAGCTGGTGACCTAGCAGACAAGTCCAATATGCTGTTTCCAACAAAGAGATAATAATAGCAAATCATACCTCTAACTTTCAGACAGCCACTTTTAATCATTACTTTATTTACAGTGTAAATAAAGTCATATTCCAGTTCTTACATGTTAGCAAAACAGTTTGTTTGCTTCTATAGCAAACAGTTTTAACTACACCCATATGTATAAAATGATTCTGGGATATCCATATAATACAACATTTGGGCAAGGGACCTGATGTCTACCATGACAGCATTTATTAATAGGAAATGACAAATTGTAACAGATTTTTTCCCTAAATCAGATGAGGATGCTCACATTATAAAGACTATAGTCCAATGATTTGTTTCTACTAAAGCAAAATATTTTAAAAGTAAACAAATGCATTCATCAAAGTAAAGAAGTTCTTTAATAAAAACCACAGGAAATATGAAAGCAGTCTTTTCTGTGTTAAGTTCTGGAAACAAGGAGCATTTTTACGTATGCTTCAATTAATGAGCCACGCTAATTAAAAGTGCTCATGCATCACGTGTATCAGCATCCCTGTGCTGAAAAAAAGAGGGTGAGGTGCTTTGAACTAAAGCTCATTGGACATGTTTTATTTCAAAGTGTCCCACTGCCATTTTTTCAGCACAGAGATGCATGGGAATGGCGATACGCAATGTGGAAGGCTGCCAGAGCGCATCAGTTTCCATGCTCCAGCAGACAGATTTCCAGCACGTTGGTGCAAGCTCCTCACACGGGAATAGGAGAAGGAACCTATTTCTCTTGTTGGCTAAAGTTCCCATGCAGCACTCTGAAGCACAGTAGGATATTAAAACAAGTAGATATTACCCTTCTGCTGTGTTGTAAAAGTGATTCCTTCCTACCTGTGTGGTGCTTGATCCCATGTTTACCAAGTCCAGCCTCCCACAGCAGTGATCTTGTTTTCATAATCATTATTTGATGATTAGAATTTTTCCTTCCTGAATCCCTTGTGTTGAATGTCTGAAACTTCCAAAAGGGTCTAGAGAATTGAGATGCCCAAATCCCAATGTCATTTTATGGAAACCGGACAACTACTACCTTAAGGGCTCTTTGAAAATCCAAGCCATGAGGTATATGCTTTTTCCCAATTCTTGCTTTTTGACAGTGATTTCATAAATCTTAGATTATGAATCATGGAACTCAGTAGTGCTAGGTGCTATAAAAACTCAGAGACAAAGCAATTTTTCTAGAACTCAAATTAACTTTAAGTGTCGCATGTTATATATATATAGGGTCTTATCAATTTGTGGGCACATGCTGATGTTGTGCTTCAGTAACAGAGCCTCTGTGGAGTTGAAAACTCAAAATGAAATTAGAAAGCACATTGTTAACCTCAAAGAGATTTGAGATTTATAAATGACTAGGCTTAGCATTATTCAGTGGGTATGTTTAGACAACACAATACAATTCTTTGTAGAGCTACCACTAACTCTAAACAAGTCAGCTCAGGTATTGGATGCAATATACCAGTAGCACAGAACTCAGCTCAGGAAAAGCAGAATAAATTAGTCCCTGTTTCAATGATAAACTCACTGTTCCAGAGAAGCATTCAGCTGCAAAACAGCAAAGATATAGTCAATGTAGTCTAAAGATAATAATTATTTAAATCAGTTTTGGTTGGGGGGTGGTATTTTGATCTTGACCAAAAAATTATATATTTGTAGTCAGTTCCAATGAAGAAATTTATGAAGAAGGATTGAAACAGCAGTTTGAGACTGACTTTGGAACAGTAAAATTAAAGATAAAGAACCAAACTGAACTCACAGCATTACAGTAAGAACAGCTAATCCCAATACAAAATCACTGGTTGCAAAATCCAGAAAATTTTTGTTAATTAAACTTCTGTGCTATGAATGGTCCCCTAGGGCTCAACTCTATTACAGGTATTCTTGCACTAATGCACTCAGTTACAAAGTAGAACAACAGTGCCACTTTAAGTTACTTTTTAAATTTTAGAGAGAACACTTGCAAAGGGTTGCTGGGGAATGAACTTAAACAGCCTGTAAAACAGTGAATTTGTTTGGACTGTAGCCTGAATGTTTATTTGCTTGTGAGTTCTTTATCTGCCACTATTCTGCCCAGAAAAAAATAGCAATTAAACACCATTACTTTCATGTACACAGACTCTCTTAAGAATCGAGAAACACATTTCATTCAAATTATTGCAAATAAAACTTTGTTTTAAGGAACTAGGGCAACAGTACTTTCCCGGAATCACAAAAAGTTATAGTTGCTGTGGGTATTAAAAGTCTGTAATTCTTTATTGAAATGACAGATCCCATGAAATGATTTGGTCTTAGATTACTCCTTTGATGTTCAGAACTGCTGGAACAGAGAGCTGCACTTAGCATTGCATGTATTCACTTAAGAACAAGCAATTTCTTGTGGCATTATTTACCAAGAAGGCTGTATATCATGACTAATTAGTGACCAGTTGCAACTTTACAGTCTACTTTGAATATGGGGCAGCACATAGCTGCACTGGCCCAGGAGCAGAGCAGAGAGAGGACTGTGACAATTCTTCCCATGCTTCCCTCTTTTTCTGAGGGAGGAATAAATTACTTCACCCCTTTTTGTGGAGCAGCTTACTCATTCTGTGTTCTTGGTGCCTGATCTGAAGCTTATTGAAATAAATAGAAATATTTTCATTTACTTCACAGGGCTTTGGATCAGGTCCACAGCCAGCTAATCTGGCAGGCAAGTTGAAAGGGCAAAGCCAGATCTCTTCCCACTGCTTATTCTACTCTGACCCTCTTTGTGCCCTCATGCTCACCCCATGATGTAATCAAACAAGCAGACCCTCACACTTTCCAATGCAGTTTGGACACAGTCTAAGTAGAGCCAACCAGACAAGTCAAGAGTATATGAAAGGGTGGGGGAAGGGAAAGGTTTAACCCACGGTATGGCTTAGATTAGTGTTTTTCCCATCTGGTTACTGCATAATTGTTAATAATTGTCCCCTTAGGAAAATGTACAGGATGCTCAGAGATGCTACAGAACAAGCAGATGAGTCACTAGGTCCCCCCCCACCCTACCCCCCATCCTTCAGCAATTGAGCTCAGCCATATAGGAAGTGCCAAGAACTATAGAGCTCCTGCATTTTTTTTATATGTGAGAGTGCTTATATCTCATAGGCAGCAGTTGTTTGCCTTGTGTTGATGGCTGGAATCACAGTATTTGTTTTAATTAAGAGCAGCTGCAAATATTTCCATAAAAACTCATTACGAATCCAAGCAAGTAGTGCAAGCAGTCAGATATACGAGGAAGTATCTGAAGAGAATTGGTCCAACAAGTTTTGGCTGTCCTG